TCTTTGTATTTTATGATTTCCTCCAGTTCTTTCTCTTCTCTTCTGCTGCCTCCGGGCGTTGCAATCTCCACTATCCAGACATTTTATGACTATTATTATTATCATTATCATTATTATTATTAATACAGTGGTTGTTGCCAAGAACGATGCCAAGAAAGGGACCTGCTTGACCTGAAATTTAGATTAGATTTGCTAAGAATCCCTCTACCTTGAAGAACTCAGAAGAGATTTGTTTAATTAACTTTAATGAACTTCATTTGGCTGGTTCAAGTTAATTGCACCAACCAAGTAAAGTTAATTAAAGTTAACTTAAATTCATAAATAAAGCAGCCTTGGTTTTCTTTAAAGAAAGGAATCAGAAGCATTCAGTACCCCAGTTTGGACTAGGATTGGGTTATTGTTCTTCATTTGGTTTTTTTTTTTTTCAAAGAAATGCATTTTAAAAAATACTTCTACGCTGCTTTGGTTTCCACTGAAAACAAATAACAGTGTTTACTTACAATATAAAATTCACTTAAAGCACAACAGCTCAGTTTCGAGGAAAAGCAGATGTAAAACCGGCCACGTGACCCCAAAGGAGAAATAAAGTAGCAACCCTGTTTTCCCCCTCTATTTATAAATAAATAAACCTGTGCATAAGTACACTTTAAAAAGATATTTTCTTGCAACGAACTGAGAAAAGTTACAACTTTAAAGTTAATTTTTCCACTTGTTTCTTTAGTTACTAAGTTTCAATTGAAGTAAGGAAGTTTTAGAAAAACAGAGAATCAGTAAAAAAAAAAAAAAAAAAGGAGAAGAAGAAGAGAAAGCAGTAGAAAAACGCCTTCCCCGCAGAAATAATCAAGTACGCCACCAAGTTTTTAAGATTCTTAAACGAAAAAAATCACATAAATTGCACGCAGCGTCTGAGCAAAGCTCGCTATCGGATGAGAACTCTCCCCTTAAAAGCGGGCAAATTTTGCTAGATTCAGTCGAATCACAATACCATGAAATCAGCCAGCTTTCGTCAATCCCCGGGTCCTGCAGCTTATGAAAATGTGCAAATGTGCAAAAAAGCGAAGTTCAATAAAATAAAAAAAAATAGTCATGTGAGTCACAGCCTTGCAACAATATCTGTAAGTCAAAAACTTCTAAGTCTTTCTTTTTCTTTCTGACCAAGCAGGTGAAGATCGAACACAACCTCGGCTTTCCAGTCCTGGGGGTGAGGCGGGGTAAATACTATAAAAAGAAGATATGGGCTTCCTGAAGACCATTTTGAGCCAAGGCTCGGTGTGAAACTATTTAAGGCAGCTAACGCTGGTTCTTCTCCATTGAAGCCACGTCAGCAAAACCTGCATGCAGAAAGCTAACATCTCATCGAAAACCGTTCTAGGCTCAGCCTGTGTTCTTACATGTTCGTTTTCTACATGCAGGGAACTTATTGAACAGACGAGCGTGGTTATACAGGCTCCATCGGCAGTTTGGTTCAAAAGTCATGCAGCGTCAATGCTAAGTTTCATCCCATAAACTACACCGCTCCTTAAGCTTTTGTAAACCTCCTTAGCCAGAAGGTCCCACTGCTGCAGCTCTTTAAACACCCTGAATTAATAGCACCCTTCCTTGCACCCCACTGGGGAATTTTCTACTTTGGCACATCAGATGCTTCAGTATTTCACTATATTTTTTTCTCCCGTGGGGATGTGAAACCGAAAGAGCCCGTGTCTGACATGCGACTGGAACCAAGTATTTTGCAGAAACGCTGGAAAAAAATATTCCAATTTTTAAACCGTTTTTCAGAACGCTTCGGCAAAAATGCTATTTATTTTCTGCTGTCCTCGCTTGCTCTTGCCCTCATCTGCTTTCGCCTGCTCCATATTATGAGCCTGGAAGCCAATGGCTTTTGTGCATTCAATACACGTGGTCTTTGACTGGCTAGGATCTTCGGCATGACCATGCCACAGAGGAAAAGGCTGATGACCAGCTAGCCCAAAGAAACATAAATGTTTGCACAGCCATTTTACAGGGGTCAGTTCTACAGTACTCAATTCTGCTCTACCAAATCATCTTTTTTCACCTAGAACATTTTAAACTAGAAAGCATCTGGCCCGGACCAGCTTTAAACACTAAAAACAATTTTTTAATATATATTGGGGCAGACGTGTCCCTTGATCGCAGCCCTCTCACTCCTGCAATTTCCCTGATTTTTAGCCACCTGGCCTAACTTGAAATTTCAGCAAACATTCGCTCAGTGTTCTGGTTTTTGGACACATCACACTTCACCTTGCTTATAAAACTCCCACCAAAGGACTATGGTCAGTTAGCGAAGGCCCCAAAAGATAGGCTGGCTCACTCTTAACAGAGGAAAGGAAACCACCAGAACTTATTTCTTGTGTTTATATCTTCTAAAATTCAGCCTGCTCTGTGTCAGCAACCACTTCCTTTGATACAGAGAAAACAGCCCAGCCTCCTAGGCAGCCTGGAGTTTGAAGCCTGCTTGAATGGAGCTCCTAAAAACCAAGTTAAGTTTCAACGGGGCAGAAGATTTCCCCAGGACCTGCGAAGCTGAGGCCTCTGATTACAGAAAAGACACTGAGTCATTTTAATGCTAACTGGAAACCTTTTGGGGACTTTTTGTGTGAAACAGGGGGAAAAAAGGAAACTACGTAGTATGGATTTGGTGATTAGAATCAATATAGGACAATAGAAAAAAATGAAAGTTAAGTTGTAAACTGAGAATAAGAGTTTAGTGTAATTGTTACTTATATCTGTTGTGAGGAAAGTCAGAAGACCTTTTTTGTATTTTTTTCTCCTTCATTTCATTCTTTTTTTCTGTACTTTTGACTTTGTTCTTTCTCTTCTTTCTCATTCTGTCTTTTTCATTCTTTCTCTTTAATATTAGTTTTTGTTAGCTTTTATTGTTCTAAAATCTAATAAAGTTATTTGAAAAAAAAAAAAAATTCCCCAGAACCCTTCAAAATTGGCCTTGTATAACCCGAAAAGAATAGTAAAACCCATAACAGTAGCTTCAGATAAGTCAGCTTCCCACAGAAGACTTGAAGAAGAGAATTTGGAAGCCATGTTAACCTCTCCAGACCTAAACGGACAAGTCAATATTCAGCAATCAGGACCAAAAGTCATTCTCCTCCAAAATTAGACTGTGAGCCAGAGAATGGCAAAGAAAATTGGACCGGTTGCAAGCATTGATAAGTTTCTGATCTTCTGCAATTTGCCAAGTCATGGAAGGGTGATGAACAAAGTGCTAAATAGCCAGACATGAGAGCTAACTCATTAATCTTGCATGAATTACCAAAATGTTCCTTGTGAAGCTACACCCTAGATGTCTTTCAGAATTTAGCATCTTCAAATCTAAAAAATAATAATAATAAAAGCAACCCTCTAGAGAAAAGGAACAGCACTGTTCCTGAGGGTCACATCTCAGACAGCGTTCATTCTGGATCTAAAACTCCAATATCATTGTCAAAGGGAGGTTCTTCTCTCTCCACCCTGTAGTTCAGACAAAGGGACAATTACCTAGAAAGAAATATCCAGGGATATATTTTCCATGGTTTTCCTCCTTGTCACTCAAAGGCATCATTCTGGAGGAGGGTGCACCATTCCACGCATGGAAACAGCGCATGGAGAGAAGTCAAGATCTTTATCACAAGCCACAGCTCTGAGCTGCGTCTATTTTTGTGACTTCCTTCCTTCCTTCCTTGGAACAATTGATCTATGGAGGTGATAGGTTCTCCGTCAGAGGTTGGATGGCCCCTCTCATGAATGGCTCCATTTGTTTCTCTGCACATCGTGGAGGGTTGGGACAGATGATCCTTAGGATCCCTTCCAACTCCATAATTCTATGATTCCATAACTCCCAGAGCAGTCCCGGCTCGAGCGGCTGAAGCCAAGTTGCAGAATGACCATTACGGGGCAGAACCTTTTAGAAACTTTTCATACAGTCAGAATCTGAACGGAATGAAACGATGCTGTGAGTTTCCCACGCCCCACCTGTCCTTCCCAATCCCCCACGCCACTCCTCAAACTCCAAAACACTGTGCCACTGGACGCATCCCCCCTCCGCAGCCAAACCTGCCATTAACCCAACAGCACTGAATCAAAAGCCAGGAATCTCGCATGATTGTTTCAGGCCCTGTGAGAGCTCAACCACTCTTTGATCCAGGACATTCTCAACTGACAGATGATTGGGGGGGGGGTGTAAAATAAGGGATGCGCCCCAAGAATTGGATTTAAGTTGCAGTCCGCCCCGCAGCTGTTCAGACGTCTGGTTTGCTCCCTTTTCAGCAAGTTGCAGGGGACGGAGTTAAACTCTGAAGAGGCAGTTTTCGGGGGCTGCTATAGCAACAGTGCTAGGATTCCTAGGGAGGGGGGGGTCCTCTCTGCCAATGGAGCACCGCTTCCCTGGCTCTTCATTTCCAACCGCCGGCTTGATTCGAGAAAGCACCAGCCTGCTCCGCCAATCAGGGACCCCTGTGGCCAAGCTCTGTCCAACGAGCCGTGCCAGTCTGCTGTTTGCTTTGAACTGCACGGTGGCAACGTTAAGAAAGCAAATGGCTAGCCCAAGCCGGCATTCTGTCTCCACCGCCTTCCCGTCGGCTCTGGGGAGGCCAGCGGGAACGTTTGGCACTGAAAAAATGAAGGATCCTCGCGGTCGCCCTTGGGGCGTGGTGCAAGTTGCAGGCCAGCAGACGTTGGGTCGGTTAGGGCTCTGCAGAACCAGCGTTGCATGTGTTGGACACAGACCGCAAACATGTAATCCATGGGGAATGGTTAGCGTGAAAATTACTAGGGGTTAGCGAAGCTTCCTGGCGCAAAGACGTTCAAGGCTCAGACAGATAGAGCAAGTAAATTATAAATGAATGGGATAAATACACTTCTCTTTGTAACACTGAGCTGATCACGGTGGCCACCACTAAATACCAGGCCTTAAGACATTTTATTCAATTTTCATTTATGGGAACTCAACCCCTGGGGTTTGAAAACCATGATTTGTGGCTTCGTCCCTCCAGGGGTGCTTTAGATACTACCAAGAGGAGCGCATGGCTGGGTATTTGGGGAGAATCCAAGAGCATGAGGCTTACCCAACCAACAAGGGTTTTGAGGAATCACAGATTAGCACCATGGGTGAGCCGAATCAGGTGGTCAGGGGCAAAACACACCTAGCCACCATTGGTGAGGGTTAGGGGGGTGAGTTGCACCCCATAGGGTGGGGCCCTCTCATTGTTGGGACTTATGTTTTCAACACCAGCAGGTTGGCCAACAGGTTGGCTATCGTTGCTGCAAAAAACATTTTGAAAAGCTGGGCTTTAGAATTCAGGGGCTTCAACGGGGCACAGAACCCCCAACGTTTCTGTCTCTGATGTTATAAGACTTAATGCATAAAATGGGCTGCTTAATTAAGCCAGCAACCCCGCCCCGCCCCAATGAGTGATGCAAAGGTAGCGTCATGGGAATCAAACAGCATCTGGTACTTTATAAGGAAGGGAAGAGAGGTAGGAAATGATTGACTCCATGGACTCCAATAACTACAAGCTGAAGACCAAAAACAGAGGCCAACGGGACAATGGGGATGTAAAGTGGCCTCCTTGGTTTCACACAACGGACACTATCCAGAACTAACTCTGGTTGAGGGGCTGAACAGACACTGCATTATGCTACGGTGACCCCCATTTCTTTCTTTCCAGATGAGGTTATTCCTCAGGAGTACTTTGCCCTAAATTGGAACCCTGTTCTTCGGGGGTCCCAATCTTCACAGCTAGCTATTGACTGTGGCTTGCAAGAAAAACGATGGTCAACAGGAGATGCGACAGACTTCGTCAACTACCTGGATGCACACAGAACTCCAGACCCGCTTTCTACCATTCCAGAGACCAGGTCATGAAATTTACAATATGGTGGAGAATAATGTCTTGAATATTCAGTCAAAATCAAGAAGTAAAAGCAGCTTGACATTGGAGCTAATGACCAAGGGAGGCTGGGGTGTTTGCCCTTTGTTAAATCTGTTCAGAGGTTGGGCTTTATTTATTAGGTTTT